ATACACACAGAGTGTTCTGCTGCAGAGATGCGTATGTGGCACATCAGGTAATGGATTTTTCTTGAATAACCTATGCCAGTACTGTCATGTTTTGCATCAACAGTAAGTGATTTCATATTGCATAAAGCATGGAGTTTAAAAGAGTTGATGATCCCTTCTGGGTTTATTCCGGATGGGGGTCATGTGTCTGGGTTACTGCCCAATGTTTTCTAATAAGTTAATTCCCACTCTTAGGATTGTAATGATTGCACTGAGCTCTGCTCCCCTCTGCAGCGATTACTTAAATAAAAGAAGTGCTTTCCAGCCTTCTTTCTCACCTCTCCCCAGCATTGTATGCAGGTGCCTTCACTTTGCACTCACTGTGGAAACGGAGGAATTGGGTCTGAAACAGCTATTGGCAAGAGCAGAAATGTGACATTCTAAGGCTGCGCAGCAAAGTTCAATTCAACCAGTTCTCTACTGTCCTCATGTCTACAACTAATTCAATGTCTTTCTTTAATAAGAAAACTTAACTTTCATGAATCATCAGCAGACATCTAGCTATATTTCAGCAAAGCACTTTATAGAATATCTCACAGGCATATTATTTTCTTAGGCAGAGAAGACAGGGATTAACCCATGACTTGTAGAGTGAAAGAGGAGCTGGTAGATGGGAGACTGCACAGAGAGGAAAGTCATAAGGGTGGAGAGCAGCTACTGGTGGAATTCTGCCAGCACAAGGTTAATGTATTTATGAATGCTGATTTAGCTACTTATGTACCTATTCACTGAATAGTATTTGATTCCTCGGAAGCATCAGTATGCACAAAATTATCAGAGGAAGTAAGGGCCCCTCTTCCGTTGGCTTTGCACACATTGACTGGTACTCACCTGCTCTTTTCTCTGTGAGGGAAAATGACCCTTCCTGGTGCTACTATCACCTACTATGTTTTATGAAGACTTACTGCCCTTTTCCCACTGACTGCACTGGGGAGACTAGTGTAAAAGTGAATACCCAAGGGACGCGTAAGTTAGCAAAACTTGTTTTCCCTGTTTATTCACATTAGGCCAGGGATGGGCTTTCTGTTAAATAAAGGGTTATAAGAGTCTTGATCTGTCCTGCTCAGGCCAGGTCAAAGTTTCCTCCTATATCTACTCCTGTCCATTTGTCTGAGTTTCAGAGGAGAAGGGGATAGACCTTCCTACCATGTTGAAGGGGAGATAATGCTCCTAGCTGATACCAAAGCCACCATCAAAGGGAGATTCTCTTCCTGTGCTATTTGTTACCAAGAAGATAGCTGTGCATAAACCTCAGAGGAGGGTAATTCTACCTCAGACTCATAATGGGCTGTACAGCTGCCATGGCTGCACAATGGCAAAGTAAAGGCCGTTTCACCACTTGGCAGACTTGATAGAAAGATGTTGGAAGAGATCATCTGCGCACTGGGGTGTGGTACATGGGGTGCAGGGAGCCTCAGATAGGACAAGGAGGAGACATTCAGAAATCACAAGGGAGAAGAGATCATATAGGACGGGAAGAGAGGATTTAAGGTGTCCAAAATAAGAAAAAACAAGAGGCAGGGTACTGTGGGAGAATACAGACAGGAACTTACCTCGGCAGCAGTCTGGAGAGGGTATTTTTCTTCTCTTTCTTTTTTTCTTCCCAGCCCCTGCCCTGATCCCCAGTATTCTTTCTCCCATATCCTTCTCCCATAAACACTTTAACCAGCTTTTTCCATGGCAAGTCAGTCCGGTCCACATTCTACACTGCTCTGCTATCAGTGACTGGTCAGTCTGCACGGTTTCTCAGTTTTGTTGAAATCCATTCTTTTCTGTTTTCTCTTGTGGAAATTTTATGCCAAGAACAAACCTTCAAATATGTCCCACCAGCAGGAGAGGATGTGTGAACAGGGAGAGGTGAAGGCAGGCATCATTGCTAAGGACTTAAGAGCTGTTTTCTCTCCCACTCATGGATGTTCACTAAAGAGGTGTTTTGGTTTAACTGTGGCTTATTGGATTATGTGATTATGGCATTTGAATTCTTTATTAGATCTTTTCTGTCTTGGTCCCTCGGGTAGAGAGGGACTTGTTTTCTGGCCTTTGATGTGTTTGAAAAGTCAGGCTATTTGTATCACTGCTCCTTTGCTTTGATTCTTTGACTCCTTCTCTAGGGAGCATTCTGATGTGCAGAGCTCAGCTTTATGTCTACTACATGGGATGTCTTTGTGTTTTATTTTGTTACTGGGCACAAGTCACCCCTCCTGCTCTGTTCTTTACAAGTTGTCTTGAAAACAGGCTATTACTGACTGATCCATTTGGAAAACTTGTGTTTGCTGGAAGCCATACAGCAAGTTTAGTACTAGATGAGAGAGACAGTACCTTGACTTGGAAGGGAGGAGTAGCATTTGAGTAGACTGCTCTTCCACTACTGTTTTCCAAAATAAGGGCTTGGTCTAGGCTACTGTTACTGTTAACATGCTGCCTACGAGTAATACAGCACTACAGCAGCACTTTGATTTCCTCTCATCCCCTCTTTCTTTGGTATCTAGAAAAAAACCTAGACGTTATAGTTCAGTCATCAGAAGAATATTCCCCACATTCTACCGTACCTGCTCCGTCCTGCTGATTTTGACTGAGGTGCCTTTTTGACTGAGGAGAGGACTCCTCTTACCCTCATAGTGGGAAATGGGAACCTTCACAAACCAACGCCAGTGAGCAGAACATCAGGGAAGGGAAACTGGCTTAGTCTGCAAGAAAAGGTCAGGCCCAGCCCAGTAAACCCCATCGAAAAGGGTCAAACCAACTTTCACTTCATTTGTCAGCTGTCAGTGCCAAGTGTGCTATACATAATAGCACAGTCGTGCAAAGGACAAAGGGGATTTGTGACGGGGAGAGGTGAGGTAAGCCATAATTAACTAGAACACTGAAGGGAAAACACCATCTTGGAGCTGCTGAGTTTCTCCTGTGAGCTCAGACCTTCTGCACAAGTGCCCCAACACATAGGTCGGCCGCTCCAACAAGCCATCCACAGCTGTATTCTCCATAGAGTGCCAAATCTGGAAATGAGACTGAAGCTTTGTGGACATAAGTAGCGAACGTAGTATGATGATATGTGAGGCTTAGCACTCCTGTCAGTGCAGAGCACAGGGTCAGTCTCCAATGCTGCCTGAGGAAGCAGAGAGGAATCTCCCATGCTTATGCTAGTTCTGGAATTAACCTCCTCACCCAGCATGGGTGAAAAAAGGGGCTTATTGGCCCCTGTTGTTAATGGCCACTCCTGGCAACAAGAAACAAGGGATTTCCTCCCCCTCGCATTTTCCTATGAGATGAACCAACGCTTATATCTATAGTGGTTTGTTTGCATATAACACCATCTCTCCTGTATGAATTGTTACTGCTGCATTTGTGACGGCATCGCTGCTTCTCTCTTATGAGTGAAGTGTATCACTCCCTCCCCACTCCTCTGTGACAGCATTCCGGCATTTCCAACCCATCAAGAACATTCATGTATTGTCCTTTTGTTTCTGTGTAGTTTCCAGCCAATGCCGTGTCCCTTTATAGTGTACCTGAGTGGCTTCCATAACACAAGTTGCTTGAATCTTAAAGCATATGCTAGTTCATATGGAAACAAGCAATTCAGTGACCTTTCTTTCTCCTGAGGCATAGTTTGGAAATAGCTTTGCCTATTGGACTGACGGTGCCCAAGCAGTGATTTGGCTCTCACATCCTGCTCATCATACGTCAGAGCTGCTCTGGTTTTGCATGGAGACAATGGTCAGAAAAGGCTGTGAATGCTGGACACAAATTCAGCCTCACCCCCAATGCGTATAGATTCAGTGAGCCTGAACTATTTTTAAAGGAAACCTTTCAAGTGTCATTAACAGTCAGAACTGCAGCCTCTGACACAGCTGGGAAACATCTGCAAACACTTGGAACAGGTAACAATTTGATGAGAGTAAGGTTGATATCAGACTGCGCTCAGCTCTAGTGGAGTTAGCATAGCCTCTGGTTTGGCTTGGAAGCACGTTGTGTGCAGGAAATGTTGGTAAATCGTGGCAGCTTCTTGCTTCTGGAAAGTGTCAGGATGTGGAATACCAAACAAAAGGATAATTTACCTGACAAATGCAGCCTTACTTTCTTATGGAATTTTCTTCTTGATTTTACTCATTTTTCAAAAGTGGATGGGTTGCTATGCAGTTTGGGAGGGCAGAGGCTTAGTTTTTCTGTACTGGGATGAGCTATCTTTAAACTGCTCTCTGTGTTTGATAACTGTAGTCACAGTCTGTGGTTAAATAACTAAGGTTTTATGTTCCCTGACCTTGAAAATGGCTATGGTGCAGATTTTGCTGGGATTAGTTTTATTATTCTGTTTCTGTGAAGACTTGTGCAGGTGGGTTTACAAGATGCTTCCCGTGGCTTCATGCATCAGTAGAAATTCTGTTACACACAGAAATTATGGCAAGAGCACAGCAATGCCAAAAAATGACTCTTCGATCTAATGAATATTCCTGAGGTTTCTTTTGCTACATTTGCTCTGAGGACTGTGTGGATGGTTAGGATGTCATAATTTTCATGTTGCTGATATCGTGGCTCCAGATCTATGTGGTAATAGGGAGATTCCAAGTGAGGACCGTGCTTTGTTGTATATATGGTGTATATAACCAAAAGACGGTGTTGTGTTCTGTATCTTCTCCACCTACCACCCCAGGATTACTGTTATCTCAATATTAGCAACAATTTGATTTAATTTGTTTGAATTGTTGACAGATTCATCAGGATACCTAAAACTGAAAACACCCAAAATCAGTAGTCACATTTGCAAATCTTAGCTTAAAACTTTGAAGAAGTCCAGTGTCTAATATCTTTTTAGACTTACTGAATAACACATTTTCCCCTGTGCACACACTCCATGTGGAGAAAAACATTTTTTACCAATGCATTTATTTACTTTTTTTTTTTTTTTGAGCTGTTACAGTTCTGGCCATTTTTAAAAATCATTTTAATTGAAATGTCGTGTGAAGTAGATTTGGGGATCCAGGTCTTTTCTTGGTCATTGTGGAACCATTAAGCAACACTGCAGTTACCCCACACATGATGCTATTATTTTTGATGTCAGGAAAGCAGCAGGTCATCTTTCTTCTCGAGGGCTTCTTGGAAATTTCCAACAAGTCAGATCACAGAATTAATAAGACACACTCCTTGCCTGCAGCATGAACACTCAGATCACAGAGCACCTCCTAAATAAAAAAAAGATGTAGAAGGCAGAGCTCCATTGCTGCAGCTATGGCTCATGGTGTCATCTGGACCTGTGCCATGCTGAGCACTGCTTGGCAGAGCCACCCAAACTGCTGCTAGGTAAGAGGTCTCCAAGATAGATTCTGGTGTTATTGGCCTCCTATTTACATTTTATTAGATACCCTTTATGCAGAGTAAGAAATGTCAAAACACCTGTTGGAGAGACCATATCACAAATTCTTATATCTGTACGTTAATTTATGTGTTGGAGATGCTATTACTGAGTCAAGGTTTACCAAGAAGACTTTTCACCTTACAAAGAGGGAGAGTTTTTTTTTTTTTTTTAAAGCTTAACTAAAGGTGAAATAAATCATTGTAAATATTTTCATCCAGTTTCAAATCTGATTTAAGATTACCTAAGAGAAAAGCAAATATTCTTCCTCTTCCCAGTCTCCTTTTTCAAGTTTATTCTAAAAAATGGATAATACTTTAAGTAACCACTTTGTGTCTCACTAAATCAATCATCGTGGACTAATCCATGAGGAAGCTTGTCTGTGGGATGTCCAACTGAACTCTATTTGAGCATTCTTGGGAGTGGAGCAATAGGAGTAAGAGACATATGTCTCCCAACAAAACAAGGGAATATAAGGCTTCAGAAGCTTGGCCTATACACAGATTTTTTTTAAAATCTGTGTAGATTATTTAGATGAGGAGTAGGGTTCTCTGTAAAAAGAGCTGGGATAGCCTCTAGGCTAGCTAATATTATGAAGATGTGATGGCATATTAACATATGCAGATGGACACGATGTTTTCCTCTTCCCCTAAAGAGAATGCTTACACCACAGTCAGATTAGAGACAAACATCACCTTCCAGATTCTCCTGTGCTGGGAAGAGATGTTACTGCCACCAACTGATGGTACTCTATTCTTCTGATCACTGGAAGAGCCATGGGCAAAGTTGGCTGTCTAGCTTAAGCGGTTTAAATAGGTGGCCAGAGCAAACCAGTTGGCACCAACTGGTAGAAGTAAGCTGTTTTGGGTGATCTTGACCAGCCATGTCCTTAAACACCTTTGTACTTTGGGAATGGTAGCGAAACACTCTGCATGTGGACACATCGTTTGTTATTGCTTGTGAAGGAAAGTTTCAGCAAAACTTTGACATCATCTTACCTGTTGTAAAGAAGCAAACTAGGGTAGGTACCGATTAATTTTACGTAATTTTTGAGCTGCTTGGCCAAGGTTATATAAAGTCAGTAGCAGTGACAGACCTAGAAAGAGAACTCAGCGGTCCTGGCTTTTAGCTATCTTTGCTAACCATTAGATAATACTTTCCCCAGATGTTTCAGTAAATGATGCTATAAAAAGTTCTTGACATTGCTGTTGCAATTCCTCATTTCCAAAGGGCTGCCTGCCTTTATGTTTTTAATATCATTACTTTGAAGCACCATAGCTAGAAGTGACAGTGCCAGAAATAGTAGTAGTAATAATAATCTGCATAGCACAACAGGCATTTTACCGGCAAGTAGGAAGACAAAGGTCCCTGTGTGTTTCATATTAGTACACTGAAAAAGTCTTATTGAGTCTATCTGGAATGCATAGGTGGGAACTTTAACCCCTCATATGCTGAGAAGAAAATTGTATGCAGACCTGAGAGCTGAATTAAATGAACAAAAGGGCACATGAGTTTCATTCCTGTGGCGGTGGGAGGTCTTTCTGGACCGTGTGCCTTGACAGCCTCATTCAGGCTTATATATCTAATATCCATGTGTCACCAGAGTAGTTAATTTACAAGTATTTTTCCATTTTTTTCAGTCATATTTAATTATTCTTTATCACACACCAAAAAAGACAGAGGAAAGGAAAAAGCTAACCCAAACCTTAAAATCCTTTTTCCTCTGCAAATTCTGTCCTTACTTCTGCCATGGCCCATGTTCAAAACCCAAACAATAAAACATACAGCTGTGACATTAGGGGAATTGTCCAAAAAGGACGATGTCTGAAGGTTTATGATTAGGTTTTATATTCCCTCTGTCTACAGAGCAGCACTTCCTGAATGTTTCTGTGGTGGGAAAAGCATCCCAGCCATTTCCCCTTGTGGATGATGGTGTAATTAGAGCTGTAAAGAAAGAACCCATGACACTAAAAGGCTATAAGTGCTGCAGATTTAGGACAACAGGTTACTATGGAAACTGAAGTGAAAATAGGACCTTAAATGGGTGAATAACAATAATATAGAGTTCTCAGTTTGGATCCGTCTGTTAGTTGCACTAAAATACAGTCTGCCTTTCTGGCAGTTATTTGCATAACCTTTCCCATAGTGCTCTCTATGAAACCTTGCTTTTCTTTTTCTTCCCCCATCAACTCTTCCTTTCTGTACAGAAACATGCTTTCCTTGAGAAAGAAAGAAGAAAGATGAAGAACTTCCAATGGATGCCGTGACCCATTTATAGATAATATCAAAATAATTTGAGCTCCATATAGGGAAATATGCTAGATACTAAATTGTGGCTACTGCGACATAGCCCTTCGTAGTAGCTAAAGATTCTCCTCCATCAGGTTAAGTCCTCTTCCAGTTCAGTGATGGTACAGTGCAAAGCTAGGGAAATGCCAGTGATGCCTTTGAAGACTGATGTAGATTACTGCATGCTGGACTTGTCAATTCTCAACAACTAATTGTCTCCTGGAATCCTGCTGGAATTAACGTGTTAGAGTCTGAGACTAGTTCTCATGTCTGCAAGTGGGAGATCCTTTCCTTTGGCCCTCCAGTTTCTGAGGAAATTGGTAACCATCTTTTACTGGCAGGGAAACTTTCCAGTATTTTCAGCAGAATATGGCATCTTGAATTGGTTCCACCATGCTCTAACCAACATCTAAAAATGACACTGCCACAAGCATTCCAAGAAAGAATAAAGGTGCGCTTGCCATTCTTTGCACCATGATTTTTCTTGTTGTGCATTTAACAACAGCAGAAGTAGTGGAACTGTAGCGAGGGAAAGATTGAACCGCTAGTGACAGAGGCCCCCATACAGTCCTGCTTGTTTCTGTAGAAACAGCCACATAAATTTGGTTCATAGTAATAAATATACTAGCTCAGGGATATTTAGGTGAAAATTATTGTCAATGATGGACTTCTATGCAACTAACCTGTGTAGGCTAAATATATAAAAATACACAGGTGGAATTATTACTAAAGTCAGGGACAAGTGAACTGGGACACATCTGTGCAGTAATTGACCCTAAGAGCTTATGGTCCCCCCTGACACGCTGAATGGTTCATGTTATCTGTAGTCTGAAATATGAATTCATTTTGCAAGCAGTTAGCTTAAAAGTCACATAAGCCACAGCTTAACTTTTTGCAAAATGTCCCAAACGCAGAACAGTTGCCAGCCCCATTACAATGCTGGGTCTCTTTCTTTTTTTCTGCATTGATGTAGTTCCGACAAAAACACAAATGAGAATCACTTAAACCAGTCAGTTGCCGGTCACTGAGTCTGAGTCAAAGTCCTGCTTTATGGGACTGGGGCCTACAGCAATACCATGGGCCAAATGGCAATGATTTCTGCTCTGAAGCTTATGTTCTGCCATTTGAGTTTGTTTAGTGAAATAATACGGGCTCCCCTGACTCTCCAGGTTTATGTTGCCATAAATGAGAGAGAAAACTACTTCTGTGTGCATGTGTTCAGAATCTCTCATTGCATGGCAGGCTAGGCAAATTCATGTTTCCGGCTGCTCTGCTTGTGCAGGCTCAGGGCAACATCCAGATGCTGACACACTGGCTCCAGACAGCCTCCCTGCAGAATAAATGCTGTTAAATTCTTGATCTGATTGGCAGCCCTGGGAATTCAATTCAGGTCCCTGGGGAGGGGCAGA